ATCAATCTTTCGCATATGTCGGCATGTTGCACTAATTCTGGCGCGTACTGTACTAGGTATGCTAAGGAACTTCTACTTTTGCGTCCTTGTTGTTGTGTTCTTCCTTGAGGATTCAGATAGGTGTAATAAGATGGTGACATCTCGGCTTTGGTAACAGTACAGCAGCTGCCGACTGGGCCATGCTCGCAACTTCTGACACAGAATTCGTGCTACCGCGTTGGTTACTTTTACAGGGGCGCTTTAGGTTACATCACACTTAAGGGCGTATCATGGTCGCATCTCCGGTATTTGAAGCCGTTCGGTTGATTCTGAGGTCTCCTCCACATGTGGCCCTTGAGTTGAAGATATTACTCGTCATGGACCCCTGGCCGCCGCCAACATTCACAGTAACAAGCTGGTCCTATCTTTCACATACTTTCTCCCACGAGCGACAGTTTTTCTCCTAACAACCGCAAATAACATTCCGTTTTTGAATTATGAGCCATGCCGTAGGAGTTTTTTCACTGTCTGCACTTTTTGCTCAGTTACACCTACCGGCTCGTGTTAAGTGACATCACCACGTGTAAGTGTATTACTTAAAACAGGCGAGTAGTCGCATACAATTATGTAAACGACTTCTCTGAAATTTCTGATGCATTTCTTAAATACTACGTACCAATAGGGAGTTCAAAGGTGTTTGCTTATATTTCCTTCAATAAACTTGAGTTGACTTAACTGGACACGTTGACTCTACATCTGGAACACGTTTCCTTAGTCGGTTTCCCAGTAATTGGTCTTTTGACGATAAAGTCTTTCAACCTTGGTATTTTGGCAAGATACTCCTTTATCCCTAACATTAAAGCATTATTTAGCCGCGTTATTTTAATTTCCGGATGTTCTTCAATGTTAAAGAGGTCATTAACTTTTTTAGAATTAAAAAACGATTTTTAAAATATCAACCTTTCATCCCATGCTTCTTTCCAGCATAAAACCCCCACAGAGCCCTTATTTCTACCGGTTCCACATTACAGCCAGAACTGTTTCTTGCTTCCTAAGTTGGGTGTTATATTGCACTTTGCAGGTTATGTTAAGGCAAACTTACGCGGCAGCTATCACACTCTCTCCCCCTCACTCACATGGGTCTGGTCACAAGAAAATGTCAAGTTCACTGGAGAGGGGCACTGGCAACAGGGTTCAAAATGCTGAACATGCCCTAAAACGTGCTACGTAGTCACTGGTCACCAATAAATGTATTAAGCTATTCTGCGCGCGGCTCGGAGTGCCATAAAGGTTACATTGAGAAGGAGCTATTGAATATGAATATCAGTCCTCTAGTCACTAAGAAGGATTCCCAGGACGGATTCGTTTTTATCCGTCGGTCGG